GTAAAATTCATATTATTTGTAGATATTAAATCATCTATGTAACGGAAAGTGTAAATGTACAAGTTAGGATTTAAAGTCTGCTTCATAAATTAGTTTTCATAAAAGAACTGATACAGATTGGCCATAGTTGAAGAGAAGTTCTTTCCCATTGGAATACCCACCATTTGCTTATATACTTGTTCGTTAAAAACAATATAACTGTTATAAATACAGAAATGGAGTATGTTTTTATGTTGAATTCTAGTAAATTTAAATTTGGGTATAGTTATTTCATTATTTATAAAGTTATCAAACAAATCATTGAAAACCCTAATTAATTTTTTTTAGATCTATTATAGTATACAATGTAGTGAAGTCGTGTGTAAAAAATAGAACTGGCAGCTTTTTAAGAATTTAAGTTAGTTAAACATTCCAAAACTAGAATGTTATTTCTAATAATCCAAAAATAATTATTCTGGTTATTTGAAGACTGTATTTTTAATTTTTCAAACAAGACGTCTAGAATATTGTTAAGTACTATGGAAACAGATTTAATGACTGTATTTAAATAATTAGAAATAAATCTGAATTTCACAGGATTTTTATGCAATTTTGGAATTGCACTTAAAAATGGTTAATTCGTACAAGAATAATATGAATGAATATTCCATTTTTTTAAATTAGTAATAATAATAATAATATTACCCCGATTGATAAAGCTGGCTATAATTTTGGTTTTGTGTGTAAAAAATTATACGAACAAATTTTACTTAATCAAATTAATACCACAAGTACTTTTACTAAAAGTACTTCAAGTAAAAATAATATAATTACTAATTTAAAGAAGGCTATTAAAAATGAAATATCCATCTTTTTAATGCGATGGTTATAATTTGAAGTTTTTCAAATATATTTACATCATAAACTGATTTTACGGTTTTTGAAGCTAAAACGTGGATACTTAAATCGAAATCAAATACAACAAAATTGGCTTGAATTTGACGTTTCTTTTGGTTGGAATTTCGTGTAAAGATACACGAGGGCTATCTATGTACTGTCCATAACTTAGCAGTGAATAGACTAGAGGGAAGGCAGCTAGTCGACACCACCCACCCCAACTCTTAGGCTTCTGTTCTACCAACGAATAGTTGGCTTGACCGTTACATAATTACGCCCATACAGCTGAAAGGGCAATCTTGTTTGGTGATGGGGATTCGAACCCACGACACTCAGCTTGCGAGTTAAGAATGAAGGGATTAACACTTTTGTGAGTTTAGGACAAAACCTTGATCTTCATGACCAAAAGGTCATTGATTGAATAAGTTCACTTGAGAGGTACAGCCATAAAAGTTCGGTTCTATATCTTTACAGAAGATCATTGAATTTTCTCAACGTTGGATAAAGTGCCCCGCCCTAACTAACGGCCTACTTGTACTAGTAGAACCTGGTTTAAGAGCCTTGAAAGAAAAAGATCAGAAAACGAAAAAGAGATAAAAAAGAAAGAATTGAAACATAAAAATCTTAATCACAGAGCTATGATGAATCGTGTAACTGAAGAGTATTCGGAGCACGCGTTGTTCAACACTGTCCTAGTTTGTCAAGGCTGCTTCGAATCTCGAACGGTATGCCTTCTGGCCAGTCGCTTTCGCTGGCACTCCGCCTGGTGCTGTCAATTGATCTAACAGGGTCACGGCCACACCCACTTGGGAAGATCAGAGAAGACCCTCCCTCATTTGGAAGAGTACGCCATCTACCGGCCAGGTACTGACACCTGCTGCTTACCCAGATGAACTGTGACATACCATCAGATCTGCAGTGATTAAGGAAGGGACTACACGTGTTGGCTGTTTCTCTTACTCAGTGACTCGTTATGATATTTTTTTCACTGATGAACTGTTCTGTTGACTGATTAAGTGGTGATGATCATATATATTCTCTAGTTCGTATTTAATTTAATTAGAAACTCTCCTAATGAAAGCCACCGCTATGGAAACATGCGTTTTAATTCCGGCTGAATTTAGTCTGGTCCTCGTTGCATCCCTAAACAGAAGAGTCAGCCATATCTGCGAGATGGGAGTTTGTGTTTGGAGCAACCAGAAAATCCCTCGAGGAAGAAGGTTCTTACCGTTTCAAGGCACTCTGAGACTGGACAAACTAGAGGTCTATAGTTATTTGGATGACAGTGATGTAAGAATGAAGATTTAACTACAATTTTGTTAAATTATTTCAAATAGCTTATGATTGACTAGCGTTGTAAGTTCTCGTTTATATATTTTTAGTATAGTTAACACTAGTGACGTTATTTCACTACTGAATGGATATAAATAGCATGAAAAATTCACGGAGTAGAATATTTAATTTCTTTAATTTAAAGTAGGCATATACTACAAAATATAGATGGAGTGAAAGGTATCGCAAACACATTGTCGTTTTTTTTTTTCTCAATTCTATGTTATTTTCTTCATTTTGAACACTAAAAGGTTTTTGTTTTTAAATCAACAGCAAAAGAATCGAGGATGACCCCAGTGGCACAGCGGTATGTCTGCGGACTTACAACGCTAGAATCTGGGTTTCAGTACCCGTGGTGGGCAGGGCACAGATAGTCCATTGTGTAGCTTTGTGCTTAATTACAAACAAACAAAAACTTGAGGGTATAAAATTCTTTTTCGGAGAATATTTAGAAAATACAATGCATTTTGTTAAAATGTCATTTTTTTTTTCTAAATATGAAATGCAGTTCAATATAGCACAGAGGAGGTAATTATAAAATCTAGGCGTATCAAATCAGCTCCCTATTTATATAGGAAAAAAATGTGAAATACTGTGAATCTTAGTTTACTTGTTGATATGTTGATAAAAATGAATTACATTCATACGTGAATCCATACAAGTAAATGTACGTAGAGTTTGTGTTAAGGTAAACAGACTACAGAGACAGTAAAATTGACCCCGTATTCACACACTTTACTTCTGTTTATTTTTAGACATTAGAGCGATGTTTAATGTCATTCGCTTCGCTGGTCACAGATGCGAGAATAGTGACTATTTGGAACAGAATGAACTGCAACAGAAGTGAGCTGTGTGTATGGCTAGTCATGTTAAAGCGACTTTAATATGTAACTGACAGCCGCACGTGATGTGTGTAAATACCTGACGACCTTGGTTTTCAGCGTTCGTTTGTAACTTCCGCTGTGTTACTCTTGACCAACTGCATCTCAGACATGTTAACCTGCAGTTTTAAGACATTTGTGACTTGATGGTTGTGGCACTCGACTCGCAGTTAGAGAGTCGCGGGTTCGAACTGTCGTCATCAGATACGCTCGCTCTTAACAGTTACTGTTAGGGCCTTCCATCCGAGTGTAAAAATTCTTGACTCATACAAAAATACTCTAGCGGTTGACCCCAAACTGGATGGGATTAAGGTCAAATGACGAAGAAGATATTTAGAGCCCTTGTCGTCTCTTATTTTTTTATCATTGGATTCTTTTTTTTTTCTTTTCAACAAAGTAGCCCCCTGCGGCAAAGCGGTATATCTGCGGACGTACAACGCTAGAAACCGGGTTTTGATACCCTTTGTGGGCAGAGCACAGATAGCCCATTGTGTAGCTTTGTGCTTAACTTCAAAACAAACAAACGATTGAACAAAGTAATGTGAAATTCGTGTAATTATGATTTCATAGAATTCTTTTTCGTAAGTATTGAAGTTTATAGCTAGCAGAACATTGTATATTTAACTAACTTGATGTAAAATAATTAAAGAAAAATGAGCCACATTACATTTCTTTCGATTTCAGTTTGAACAAAATAGAATTGAAATTACTTTATTGATCTTGCAAGAAAGATTACTGATAATGAAGCCTCGGGTTTATTGAACATTTATTTCATGCTATAACCCTAATAGAAGGTATTAATATATTGTTATGTATTTTAAAAGACAGCAGTGAATACAGTCTAACGTTAAATAGATATATACATATCATAATAAAATTTAATAGTCCTGAAAAATATAACTCTCCATCTTTTCTGTAAGTAGCTACTCCGATCGCTTCAAACGATCAATTTAACCCGTGTTTACTAATGTGAATCTTCATCTCGAAAAACGTTGTGATAACGATTATAGATTTAACAGAAAGACTGACACACAGGATTACCAAACCATTTGAAATATTCACTGATGCGAAGAATTTACTGTATCAGTCTGAGTTTCTTATTTTCAATCAAATCCGTGAATTAATCTAAACTGTTTCAACTCCCTGAACTAAGCCGAGACTTCCCATGTAAGGCTGTAGTCGTGCTACCAACTAGTCTGTGTGTGTACTGTTTTTCGACTGAACATTTACATAGATCCCGATGGTTGATAAACCAGCTTTAGTTGGCATGGGAGGACATCAACTGACATATACTGTATTTAAGTGTAACCACATACACGTACTTTTCTGGAGCTTGTGGAAAATTTGATATCTAAAATAAAATCAATATGAAAAATGTGTGCGTCATCACCTTTAAAGAAGTATTCTATATCAGGAAATCTCATAACTATTTTCTTTTTTAAACATATATGTCAATCGCACGAAATAGAGTTCAGTCATTGGGAGGATTAGTTTCGTTTTTAAATTAAAAACTTAGTGAGAGAACCATTGCTAAAAGTAGAGTTGCATAAATAATACGCCCCGTTGTTATTTTCGTTCTTCATATTCTGTATTTTTAAAAGTTTCCACTCATTAAAGCAGGTTTTCTTTCCTTATACGTTATATGACATTAAAGATATCACCAAATCATATGTGAAAATGGTATCAACTTTGATGTGAGAAACTCAAAGCTAATTTTGGCTAAAGAGATCTTGATATGAGACAATGATTTCATAAACCTTTATGTTCTCGTTTGGCACCAGAGAGAAAAAGATAATTGGGTAAAAACATTGACAGTTTGAATACTCTGGGCAATATTTGGTCATTAACGGACTGTGCACGTGCATTACGTGTACAGTAAATGACCATTATATATTATATAGAATATTTAAAATGTTAAATACTTCTGCAACAACAGTTTAATACATAAGACGCACATTCAACATGTGAATATATAGTGAAAGCAGGAGTTGAACCCAATTTTATGATGTAGTAGGTAAGATATAATTATATAACTATCTTAAAATGTTAAATACTTCTGCAACAACAGTTTAATACATCAGACGCACATTCAACATGTGAATATATAGTGAAAGCAGGAGTTGAACCCAATTTTATGATGTAGTAGGTAAGATATAATTATATAACTATATTTTATTTTGTTTGAAAAGAAACATATAATATAAACTCTGCTGTGTACGTTAGTTCCCGAATACTGTGAGCTTACATACATCAATA